ATATATAAAATACATAATGCATCTAGAATTAAGAACAATACTAAAAAAGGAAAATCCAAGTTGATGGGTTGGAATACTCTGAATTCTGTATTAGAAAAAATATTCTGTAATATTTTTGTGTAGCTATAGATATTATCAATATATATTGCATTTCCTCTTCTTTTTATGTTGCTTCTGTTCCTCTGGAACAAGTGATACCCTTCTGCTGCTCTATTCTAATTATGAAAATCATCTCTGATATACCACATAATTCTATTTGCCTTTCAGGTACTAAGAGTTCAACCTAATCTTATTTATTGCCAATACTCTGAGCATTGTGAAGAGATAGTGAAGGTCATGGATTTTGAGTTTCCTAGTTCCACCAGTCTGGGGGCAGCTTGATCCTTCTCTGTCCTTGTGGAGGAATTAGAGGGCCACCATGTAAACTTGGCTAGAAAGAAAAGGAAGAGGATTTGGTATAGAGATGGGCAACTTTTTCCTCCAAATACCGCATATTAAAAAAACAAGAACCCAAACTCTTGCTTGTTTATTGTCTTTAAAGACTGTAGGGAGTGAGGTGACAAATTAATTGATGTAGGGAGATCCTCTTTTAAAAATCTGTTGTAGAGGCTGGAGCTTTGAATGCAAAATAAATATGTTAAGTCCTGCAGGGCTTTAACAATTCGTTTTACTTTTCCTCTCCTTTCCTTCCCCCCCACCCCCCAAAAATTCAGTCACTGAAAACCAATAGATTTCCTGCCAGAGTTCAGTGGTGTTACACTAGATGCCACAAAAATGCATTTGAGGTCTGCAAGCAGCTTACACATTGTTTACCCTTGGTTTGGTGTGAAAAGTGAAGATTGATTTGTGAAAGAAAGGGGAATGCGTAGAGCAATTTTGGAGTTAGATTGATTTCAAAAACAAATAGAACTACTTCCTGTTTGAGGTCATTTTTTAACTTCTTCAAAGTCACAAAGTCAGCATATGGGAAATTTTCCATCTTATACTCCACTGTCAAAGTATCCAAATGAGATTTCTTCAGACATTCCAAACATAATATTTTGTGCTGCCTGAATCCTTGAAATGTAAAGGACTGAGTATAACATAATTCATTATATTTCTCCTCTTTTAAAGTTGTTGAAACAGTGCCTACTGTGAAGATAATAGAAAATAAAGGTAAGAATTGAATATCTTTTAAAAATAATTAATTTTACATTATTACATTTTCAATTCAGTTTCTCAACTAGCTGGCAAAATTTAAATATTCTTTTGATGATATCTAATTAAGATGTGGGATTGTTTTTGTTGGTTCTCCAAAAATACAGCGCCAAAGAAATGAAAATTTCAGTTTCCTTTGACCTGATATATTCAGATGTATTAAACCAAAATATATATCATTCCTAACTCACATGGCCTTTGATCTAATACTGCTTTATATTGCTGTCTTCTGGAGTCAGAATGCCATCCAGAAATAACTTTTAGGCAAAATCACAACAATTATTGATACTGATTTAAATTCTTTGGGGGGAAAAAAAAGAATAAAAAAATCTGGGACCAACTGCATCACCATCCATACTGTATTTTCCTAATTATTATTTATAATACAGGTTCTCCTCAAGGATAAACCCCATGGAATCCAGTGGGAAAGTTGGAGGTAGCTGGAAGGGAAAGAAAGAGAAATAAATAACTCCAGTGTCCAGGAACAAGATACTGATGCTCTTGCTAGAGGAGGAAATAAATGATTAATAGTCACTTAAGCACAGAAGCTGGGAGGGAGGACCTAGCTGGAGTTCCCACCAATGAGAACACAAAACACCCACAAGCCCCATTCAGCTGCAGCATTACAGGGAAAAATCAACTTTTTTCAGTTTCAGATAAACTGGTGCTGAGTTAGGGGAAAAACATTGGGACAAAGTGGGGTCAGATAGGTCTGGAATCAGCTTCATATTGGCTAAAGGTCATTATATGGTGATATCTTAGCATTGAAGTTACAATATTGGACAAGCACCAAAAGAAATGGATTCAAAATGCCACATGACCACAAGCACCATTGGTTTCTAGTTTGCCTACCTCACATAGATCTTAGAGGAGTGACATGGGGGGGGGGGGGGTATGAAACCCAAAGATCTTTGAAGAAAATGCAAGATCCAGTTATACTAAGAAGATTTTCCATCAATACTGTGTTGTGATTACTGTGCGTTAATTTACAGAATCAAGAAAGACAGATGACGTTCCTTCACCAACCCATAGCAAAGCCATCACTGTGGTTGTGCTGGTAATCCTCATTCTTTCCGGAGCTGCTCTTGCAAGTTTCTATTTCTACAAGAAAAGGAATCAACTTGGGTTGACAGATGTAAACTTTGAAAATTCTTTGTATTTTACCAGCGGAGCCACTCCAGCAACTAGCGATGGGATGGATCTGGTCATGAACATGGAGCAGAATGAACAGGCATCCAATTAGTCTGACAACAATCTAAACTGTGCCTTGTTTAATAAACACTGACTTCTGAAAGCACGCTACCAAATTCTAATTTTGACTTGACAAAATAATTATAGAAGTCCATCTGTTTCAGCATCTTTATGGCATATTAAGAGCAGCAATAATTTCATTGCACACACTGAATAATGCAGCAGCTTTGGGTTCAAAATAAACAGCGCTACTGATAGCGAAGCTGTTGGATGATAAGAGCTAGCTAAGAGCACTTAAGGGAAGATCCATTCCCAAATCCATAATGGGAATCATGGAAAGGGCTAAATTTGGGGTTATTTCTGGCACCAGAAAAAAAGCAGGAGGGAGGGGATAGAACGAGAAGTCAGTATCTATATCCTAACGCTGAATTCCTGAAACAAAAATAATAGAATATTTTACGTTAACTTGAAGGGCGTAATAACTAAGAGGCATGGCAAAGAAGTGTCTTGTCTGGAGAAGCAGTTCCTTCCCTCTGTTTGCCCCACTAAAGTTGCCCCTATCTAAATTAGGATAGAATCGTCTGATATCTATTTTGACATATTCACAAATTGGTGTTGCCGGTCTAAGATTCGATTGAAGTAGTTGTTATTTAATTGCTTTATTGAATATGCGGCACTTCTTAAAGCAGTAGCAAATTTGCAAATGCAAATATGTCTGACATATATTTCTGAGATATCATTGTATGCTTAAACTGTTCACCAACATGAAGCCTGCAAATTGCATACCGAAGTATTGGCATTATAGTAGCATTATAGGAAGAATGTCAGGTCAGAATCATAGAATTGTGGAATTGGAAAGGATCCCAAGGATCATCTAGTCTAAACCTTTGTCATATGCAGGAAAACCAGTTAAACAACCTTCGGGAGGTGTTTGTCCAGTTTCTTCTTAAAATCCTCCAGAGATGGAGAATCCACAACCTTGTTTTACTGTTCTACAGATATTAGCAGAGTGCATCCATGAACACCAACTAGCAGTCACAAGACACAATGAAAACTCCTTAATCTCACAACACATGGACAGACTCAACCATAGTTTCAACTGGAAAACTATGAATATCCTTGACCCAGTTAAATCCAAAAATGCTAGTGAATTCCTAGAAGCTTGGCATTTAGACATATCAGCCATCAATAGACGCATAGAGTTAAACCACATTTACACACCATTCAAAAGAGACAATAAAAAAACTAGGAAGGAAATAAAAAGACCAGTATACATCCTGTCCAGCAACCAACACCCAGCTAAGCAGAGATTAACACCAGACAAACAATCAAGCAGAAAAGAATACCCTAATCAAAGAACCACCAAGGAGAAAACCACACCCCCTCCAACACTGGCAGGGCAAGCTACTGTATATAAACAGGGACCAAACCCCATACTTGCTAGCACCAATGATGTTACCCAATCGGGTAATCAAACGTCTGCAAGCAAACAACCAAGCTCAGAGAGTGCCAAGGACTCCACAATTCAACTCTGAGCTAGATATATTGTCTTCTATACCTGGATATTTCAAATAAATTTGAAATTCTCCTTCCCCTTTTGACTCAAAAGTATACTTGAAATTGTTCATTGATGCTTATGATAGCTCAGAAGATATTTCTGGTATATCTAAAGAGGGGCCGTATGAAACTATACAGTCTTCAACCTGTAAATGTTGTTCAATATAAAATATAGCAGAGTTTAATGGATTCTCCTCCTCAAATATAAATGAGCAAAAGTATGTACGGCTTTACTTAGGCCATCTCTGCATTTCCTTACAATAAACAGTAACAGGTGTATATACTCCAAGTTGAATGCTGCTTTTGTGAATTGAAAAATACAATAAAGTTTACCCCCAAAAGTTGAAAACAACCACAGTATTCTCAGCATCAGCAATGCTGATTCTTGTTACTAAATATGACCTATTTTACATTTTTAATGACACATTTCCGAATTACTATTTATCAGGGGTGTCCTTGGATGTCCCTGGGATGCCCAAGGAGATTCTTTATCTTCTGACACCTTCCTTGACAGCAATCAATCTTTCTGCCCCACCCAACATTAATTTGCTAACATATTCTTTTAAGTTTGGTTTTTTTTAAAGTATGGAACACGTGACATTTTTCAAAGCATTAGCCTAGAGTATTATCTCTACAAAACTGCCTCTGGGCTTATACTACATTCTGAGAAAATAAATACAACGGCAAGCCAGTGTTCTCAGTTTCTGGCAACAAAACAATAAAGATGAGATTAGTTGTGGGAAATATGCTAGGAGACTAGACAAGAGGTAGCTTTGTAAGTAGTGTTTTTCGTCTTGCCATACCTATTATGGCAACCAAGTAACAAATAGGCCAGCCACTTTGTGAGAGCACCCGCAACAAACTGTCACGTTTTCAAAGGTGCACGTTGGCCCAAAAAGTTTGCTACCCCAGTGTCAGCCCTATAAGGTAGACCAGACTGAGAAACAGACACTGTGCAGACCTAAAGTTACTTTTATTAGAACAGCTATAGAAACAGAATCTTGCAAGTTTGAATGAATATCCTCCCTCTTTTATTTTCATGAGAATTGTGGGGGGAGGCTGCTTGAGGCATTTTCGCAAACTACTTTCTTTGATTTATGTCCACAATTGGGACTGTTGGGACCGGAACTTCTGTCACTAAGCGATGTGGTCGTTAAGTGTGTCATGCCTGATTTTATGACCTTTTTTGCCATGGTCATTAAGTAAATCTGGCTTTCCCCATTGACTTTGCTTGTCAGAAGCTCCCTGTGAAGGTAACAATGGTGATCATGTGACCCCGGGGTGCTGCAACCATCGTAAATATGTTCTGGTGTCCAAGTGCCTGAATTTTGATTACCTGGCTGTGGGGACACTGCAATGGTTGTAAGTGCAAGGACTGGTTGTAAGTAACTTTTTTCAGTGCCGTTGTAACTTCAAACAGTCATTAAATGAATGGTCATAAGTTGAGGACTACCTGTACCACAAAAGGACAGGCAGGATCAGAATGATGCAAGATGTGTTGAAAAGTGAATGCATGTTTGGGTTGAAGAAAGTCCTCTTGAGCTTCAGAATCCCACTTAAAAGAAATCCTCTTTTTGGTGAGATAAATCAGTGGTAGGGTCATGCTGCAAAGTTAGGAATCAATTTCTGGTAAAGATTGACAAAGCCTAAGAAAAACCATTCATTTTTCAGAATGTTGTAAGGTGCTTGCAAGGCAAAATGGACTATACTTTAGTTGAATCCATCTTAATTTTTCAGAGGGTACTTGGTCACCAAATGCTCTAATGCAGACAAACCAAAGGCACATTTCTGCAGCTCAGTGTTTCTCAACCTCAGCAACTTTAAGATGTGTGGACTTCAACTCCCAGCATTCCCTAGCCAGACACTGAGCTAGCTTAATGTAGTAATGAAGGCATTGAAGAACTCCTCAAACTTGATTGATATGAAGGAACAGTTTCTCAGAATCAGAATTGTTCTAAATAAACGATCAAGAACTTGTTGAGAATTTATTACTCATAAATATTGGAAAGGGAGATGTTCTCCAAGCAGAACATTATTGCTTTATGGTCAAATTTCCCATAGCAAGAATCAAAGGTAGTTTAATATAAGTGCCCCTCTTTCATGAGAATTAGATTGTAAGCACATCCCCACTGGGTCTAGCTTGGCAAAGACATACCTCTTCTGCAACTATTCTAAGAATTCAGAAATGAGTGGAAAAGGGAAGTGATTATAAAGGTTATGGAGTGGAAACTGATCATCATGGATTGCAGATAGAGAACTAGCTTTTTTGACAAAAATAAATTACTGGTGAGGGAGGAGGAAGAGCAGAAAATTAATTTCATTGATATATTTGACATTGCGTAATAACGCTTTACAAGCATTGGGGCTCCAAGAATAAGATTGATCATGCAAGCACAAGATCAGTGGGGGGACAGGATCTGTGCTTCCCCTTTCCAAATTCATCTGTATAATCCAAGGTGGCCAGGTTATCTATAACATAAATATAGGCCTTCTGTGCAAACTTTCCTTGAGCAGTCCAACTACTCTGGCAGCAGCTATAGGATCAGTCTGAACTGTGGAATTATCTTTGTTTCTCTCCCACATGTTGGGCTAGTTGTTTAACAGTCTGAAGTAGGTTCATATGATAGACACTTGATTCTGATTCTAGAGCGAGATGCTGGTTTCTTAATTAACAGTTAGCAGAATCACTAGAGGGTCCATCTTACTCATTCTTGATCTGCAGGAGATGGGTGTCTTCTCATAGATCTGCAAGAGGTAGTGGTAGGTGAGGGCAAACAAGCTGTCAGGCTCCCCTGTCCAGGAGCTGACTATAAATCACAGTCTTTGCCTTTACATAGGTTATCCGGCAGCTTGATTCAAATGGCAAAGTCTTTCAGACATTCAATAATAAAAATCTTTATTGCAAATAAAAATGAAGCCATATGAAACAGTTGATCATCCCCTATCCGTGCAAAAGAGTAAAGTCCTCTTAAATCCATTGCTTCCCCCCCCCCCTTTATATCTTTCTCCAGACTTCAGTGCTTCATAGCCTTGAACAAGCAGGTGTTCGTTGTTGACCTTCCTGAAATTTCTGCCTGGAGTACTGCTGGATCTTTGCTTAGCTCTCACAGAGAAGATCCTGCTGGCTGGCAAATTCTAGAAGTTTAAGTTCACACATTTGGAACATGTTAAGGCTGGAGAGAGCCATGTTACACAAGCTTAAGCTTTAAGAGAATACTGGGAGCAAGGAATTACATAAAAGTCTTCATGGAAGGTGAGGATGTCATGGAGGAGAAGTCTCGGGATAGTCAGAGAGAGGAAACCAAAGAGCTTAAATTGTCTTTACATTTCTACTATTAAACAGTAGTAGGCCAATAATTTTCATCCAGTGATAGGCTTTTTATTTCTTTTTCTCAAACGTTACTTAGGAATGTACTGTACATGTAATCCATATTTCCCCTTTCTCTGGCATCACTCTTGAGACTTTGATGATAAAGCACTGATTCAGCACAGGAAAAAGCTAGAACCTATTGTTCTGCCTAAAGGAACAGTCAGAAGACTATGAAGCAAGAACTGTCATGTTATTATGGGATGTTCCTATTATTCTGAAATATAGTTTATGGGATATAACATTTATCACTAAACTTTGTAAGAAACCTAGACCACCAAACCTGGAAAAACAATATATAGTTGCTCACTATAGTGTATAAAAAGTAGACTCCCTTAAGATTAGCTTTATTCCTGGTGAAGGCAGGAACACTTTCATCAAAGCTTCCTTGGCAACGATACTGTGTAGCAGTGGTTTGCCACTGCCATCTTCCAGACTGTTTTTTTTTCAGTTGTCCAGTCTAGCTTGCAGCCAGGGGTTTCCTTGTTGTCTCCCATCCAGGCATTAATTAGGTCCAATCCTACTCAGCTTTTTTCAAGAACAGTCAAGATCAGTTAGATTACCTGTTGTAACTTTGAAGACATTACAAAACAAAAACAAAACATGATTTTACACTTTTATTGTATTCCTATGTTTAGGTGGATTATATTTTTGGTTACTATGTGTACCACTGGAAAATAGTTGGACTAAAGTTGGGCTACATCTTATATGCATGGAATGTAACATGCATGAAGTATGAATTAGAAGGCTGACTTATTATCTATATACTACTAAAACTCTTGTGTCTGTAACCTTCAACTGGGTGAAACAGTGCATCATAGGGCAACAATTTTTGAACCAAGATACCTCAAATAGGTTAATTTACAGAATGCATCCAAAATCTGAGACCCATTACTCCTGTGGGATTGACATTTGGGAAATGTGTCTACTTCAATCCTGCTGTGCTGCTGCATTGCCATGGTCAGCCCAGGTCACATGATTGTCATGGGTGTATCCCCTACTCTTTCCTACCTCCTTCAGTCCCCTGCACCCAATCAACTGGTGGCAAGGTCCAACAGGTGAGTGGCGATTGGCTGCTTTGGAAACGAGGCAGAAATTTGAAGTCTCTTAATGGCTGTGGGCATTGAGGGAAGGATGAGGGAGT